AAATACCAATTTCAAAGTATCCTTTAAAATCAAATAAATTAAGAAAATAAAATTACCTGTCCAAAGTTCTGTCACTGTGCTTTTTACATGTTGCATGGCAAAACTCACTAAACTTTCCTTTGATCTGTCTCCGTGATATTTCACTGCAGCCTATTGATTTTTATAAAAAGAGAAATATCTTTTATGTTTTCTTTTTTAAAACTCACTAAAAGTAATACCAAATACTTTTGATCTTACATTGTTTTGAATAATGCAGTAAGTTCTGTCTCTCAGCAGTACAGTTTATTTCCAAATGATACCCTGAGAATCTTGATAGTACAGATTCTACGGAAGACATTTTAATAATACTATTTACAATAGTTGTAGTTTGTTTCATCACCAAAAACTTGGGGAAAAAAGAGATATCAGAGCTTTATATTCAATGAGCCAATACCTGTAAAACACTTCGTAAACTATGAAAAACAATATGGATACTGGATAAATTATGTTAACACAGAAACTGACACTGGCAAACATTTAATTTTGAATCAAAGTCAAACTAATGGCATCTAAAAGTATTCATAAAATAACCCAAAATGTGTATTATTGGAGCCTAATTAGATGGTACGTAAGAAACACTTAAAAACTGCAACATTCTATAAATTCACATACTGTATTTTCTCTAGTATTTCACTTGTTATAAAGTTCCACAAATCTAAAAAAAGCTAACTTTATCCCTTACCATTCCAGATCTAAAAATGAAGAGGCTGGGATAACTGTTGACTCCTTTCATTCGGCAAAGCATTCTATCATCGCCACAGTTAACAGCTCCAATTCGAAGTAATCCGTCTACTTCTTTAGCAAAATCTCTCCACTATGAGAGGAAAAAAAATGTTTTTCTCTGATAAGACCATTTTTCTTCTCCTGAACACACTTCAACCTATACATTCTTCAATGAGATAATTTTTAAAAAATAAAACTATAGATATGTGAAAGTACTTAATAATTATTTCTGATAGTTATATGTAATTACTAATAGAAAAAATCCCAA